TCTGTAGTTTGCCTGTTTGCCCTGTTGATTATGTCTTTTGTTGTGCAGAAGCTTTTTAGTTTAATTAAGTTCCACCTATTTATTTTTGTTTTAGTTGCATTTACTTTTGTGGTTTCAGTCATAAACTATTTGCTGAGGCTGATGTCCATAAGGATTTTTCCTAGGTTTTGTTCTAGGATTTTTATGGTTTCAGGTCTGATGCTTAAATCTTTAATCCATCTTGAGTTAATTTTCATATACAGGAGAGACAGGGATCAAGTTTCATTTGTCTGCATGTAGATATCCAATTTTTCTAGCACCTTTTGTTGAATAGGATGTCCCTTTTCCCAGTGTATGTTTTTGTTTGCTTTGTCAAAGATCAGTTTGTTGTAGGTATTTTAGCTTATTTCTGGATTCTCTATTTTGTTCCATTTGTCCATGTGTTTTTGTTTATACCAGTGCCAGGCTCTTTTGGTGACTACGGCCTCATTGTATAATTTGCAGTCAGGTAAATGTGATGTCTTCAGCTTTGTTATTTTTGCTTAGTATGGCTTTGGCTATTCTGATTCTCTTTTGATTCCATATGAATTTTAGGATTGTTTTTTCTTTTTTTTCTTGGATTGTTTTTTCTAATTCTGTGAAACATGACCTTGCTAGCTGCCTCATGTCGGCTATCTTTGACTTTTCTACACATCAGCTATCATGCCCCCTTTCACCCAACCCCACAGCTCTAGGCAACCATTAGTCTACTTTCTGTCTCTATAGATGTGCCTACTCTGGACATTTCATAGAAATGGAATAGTAAAATATGTGCAGTGATCTTTTCTACTGAAATATAATTCATACTGTACAAGTCACCTTTTGAGGGTGTGTAATTTAGTGGGGTTTTTTTAGTGGTTTTTGGCATATTCATAAGCTTTGCACCCATCACCACTATCTAATTCCATATATTTTCACCACTCCTAAAGGAAATTCTGTGCCCATTAGTAGTCACTGCCCACTATACACCATTCTCAGTCCCTGGCAACCATTAATCTCCTTTTGAGCTCTATGGATTTGCCTATTCTGGACATTTCATATAAATGGAGCTATATAATATATGACCTTTGTGTTTGAATTCTTTAACATGTCATTTTCAAGGTTCATCTGTGTGGTAACGTATATCCTCAACCCTCTATATGCTGAATCATATTCCATTGTACAGATATACCACACTTTGTTATCCACTCATTAGTTAGTGGATAACTAATGGTTGTTTCCACTTTTTGAATATTGTGAATAGTGCTGTTATGAACATGTGTGTACACGTTTTGTATGGACATATGATTCTATTTTTCTTCAGTACAGTGTAGGCATGGAAATACTGGGTCATATTAGTAACTCTGTTTAGCATTTCAAGGAACTGCCAAACTGTTTTCCAAAGCAGGTACGCCATTTTACATTTCTACTAGCAATGCACAAGGGTTCCATTTTTCCTACATTCTTGTAAATATTTGTAACTATCTGTCTTTTTAATTGTAGCCATTCTAATAAGTGTGAAGTGGTATCTCAAGAAAACAGACAAGTGAAACCATGGATTTCAAGAGTGGGCACACCAGGACCCTGGGACACCAGCAGCTTCTGCCATCCCTAGGAGGCTCCCTGATTACTTAAGTTATCTGAATGCCCTCATTTGCTTAAAATAAGATAGGAAAGCATAAATAAAGAACATTAGGCCAGCATGACATGAAAATAAAGCATAATTAATGGTTACAAGTAGCAGTTTTTCTTAGGACTGTAATCTGGTCTGTTCAGAGGACAACTTGGCAAAACTTGCAACTAAAATTGTTGATAGAAGAAACACAAAACTCAGTTCTGCACATCTTGGAGTGGTGTTCCCATGTTAGGCAATTGATAAGCATTATCTTCTGTAGTGTTGGATAAACTATCTTGCTCATGTTAACCATTAAGCTTTATTCTATTCTGCTTACACAGGTGCAAAAAATGTGATATCTAAAATAGTTTCCATTCAACCAAGCACCCCATTGGTGGAGAATGTAGCAATTCTACCCATGTTCACTCTGAAAAAACAGCAATCTAGTTAATTATGATTCCTAAGTTCATAAACTCAATTCTTAATCATGGATAGTTTAATTGATCATTGTTAGCTTTCATAAGCTTATAAATCTACACACAGAAACTATTTGTTTTTTTAAGAAAATGTTATTCTGTGAGCTAAATAAAACTGGCTGATATTCTTTTTCATGGTATTAATTGCTATAAAGAATTCCTGGTATAAAATCATCGTTGAGGGACAGAATGCTAGTATAGGGGGAAATACTGCTTTCTCATTTGTTTGCTTTTTTCCATTTCGACATTGCTATTTTCATTCTGTACCTGATATATTTTAAGACATTTTTCATGTAGCCTTCATTTTATTAATTCTGTACTTAATTCCTATACATGTGTAAGTGTCTAGATTTAATTGCCAGAAGAATAATTTTTATTCAAAGTAATGAACATGCAATTTTAGGACCTGTCTTAGGTGCACAGTCTAAATCAGTGGTCCCCAACCTTTTTGCCACGAGGGACCTGTTTCGTGGAAGGCAATTTTTCCACAGATGGGAGTGGAGGGAAGTGCAGTCAAGCCTCACTGCTGATGTTCATCTGTGTTTGCAGCTGCTCCCGGTGCTGGCATCACTACCTCAGCTCTATCTCGGTCATCAGGCATTCGATTTTCATGAGGAGCTCGCATCCTAGATCTCTTGCATGTGCAGTTCACAATAGTGTTTGTGCTCCTATGAGAATCTAAGGCTGCCACTGATCTGACAGAAGACGGAGCTCTGTTTGCCCGCTGCCCACCTTCTGCTTGTGGGACTGCAGACCAGTGGTCTAAATGATCAGATTTAAGCCATATCTCTTCTCAGGTTCAGATGGGAACCGTGCTACTTTTCTTCTACAAAAAGCTTCTTAAACACCTGAACTTAGGCAGTTCATTATGTGCTCTACTACACATAAAATACATAAAATGTAATTTTTAGAAAAATATTACTGTCTACTATGCAGTGTACATTAATGTATAATATAATGTCTAAGCCGGGCTCGGTGGCTCAGCCTGTAATCCTGCGCCTTTGGGAGGCTGAGGTGAGTGGATTGATTGAGCCTGCGGGTTCGAGACCCACCTGGGCAACGAGACCTCATCTCTACAATAAATCAAAAATCAGCCGGGCGTGGTAGCGCGCGCCTGTAATTCTGGCTACTCGGAAGGCTGAGGCGGAAGGATCACCGGGGCCCAGCAGGCGAGGCTGTGGTTGCTGGGAGCGGCCGCTGCACTGCAGTCTGGGCGACAGAGTGAGACTCCGACTCAAAAAAAAAAAAAAATGTCTAATGTACACTTTTCTTGAGTCTTTCATTCTTCACTTGTCCTCTTTACCATACAGGACACATGTCCTCAACTGTGCTTCTGGCTCCCAATTCAGTGATACTGTCTCATCCTTTCCAGATCATACCTAGCAGGGTGGTGTGGAGGTGCCATGGAGTGTGTGTGAGTGGGGGGGGGGGGGGGGGCACGAGGAACCTCTAGGGACTACTTCTCTAACAGTGTCTAATCAGCCCTTCTTACGGTAAGCCCCCTTTATTCTCAAGTCCAGAAATGCCTGGTGCCATCATTCCCCGTGTCTTTAAGATTCTGGAGAGGAAATTGGGCTGGTTTCATTTTGTTTCAACTGCTGCTTTGGGTTTTAACTTTCTCAGGTTTTCTAAGGCAGTTACCATTCACTTGCTTTCTAGCTTCCAAACTTTTGGGCACACAGCCTTCTGTTGACTTCAGGGGAAGAAGCTGAAGCACAAAATATGATGAAAAGCGTTGACTTCAGCCAGAGAGCACAGCTGCTGGGATGATCAGACCCAAGTAACCTTGACTATCAGCCTTTGTTACAAGCTGGTTTCTGCAGACGAAATAAAAGGTGGGGACAGGCAGTGGGCTGATACAAAGTGAATTATTTATTGAGTGGTTAGTGACTGGCTGTACATTGTTAAGCTACAGAATGTGGCCTCATTAGGTTAATTTATCGTTATTGTGGCAAAGCAAGCCGTTTCAAGAGATGAGTACATAGCTCTAAGGGGGGAGTAGGGCATGACTGCGGTCTCATTTTAAGGCCTCTCTGGGCCTGATGATTAAAATAATTTGCATTCTTCCCATAACAGCTATTTTTCGCTTCCCAGAACAAAATGTTTAAAAATAACCTTTGGAAAAACATGCAACGCATTTTGGAAATACTGACTTCTCTGGCCTCAGGAGCGTCCTTATTTAATAGCCTCGCCCCCGACTGCCCATGGGGCTGCCGGGGCTGTGATCCCGGAGGTCTGCAGGGGCCAGGCAGGTGCTGTCTCCCCCCACCGGTCCGAATCCCGGACAGGTCCGGGTCGAAAGCAGCGGGGGGCGAATCCAGCGCAGTAGCACCTGTGTCCAGCAGGCGGCGGCAGCCGCGGGGCGGAGACGACCGCGCGGCGCAGGCGTGGTTCCCGGGTCCGGACTCCGGGCGGCCGCTCGGGAAGGTCCTCCGGGCCCGCGGGGCGCGGCCGCTCGCAGGAGCGGCGTGTCGGGCCTCGGCCCGGGCTCCTCGCGAGCGCGCGCGCGCGCC